CCATAACTCATGCCAAAGTGCAACTTTAACAACCATTAACAATTTTCATGGTACGACCTCAAACAAATTTAGAGTAGCACCACATAGATATATATAACTCAAACTAGAGTAGCAATTAATGGAGCTATAACCATTACAATTTCAGCTAAATCAAGTCTATCCATCACACTTACAATCAGTACATGAGCTCAGAGCTTCTTCCATAGGAGACAGACAAAGATTAAGAGGACGTCAATTACAATAGTTTTGAAGGCAGAAGCAATGGGCATGTTTGTTTGCCTAAACAGATAGGTATAATCAAGCAAGCACTTGACAATTAACTGGCCTAGTTGCACACAGGCATTTACAGTAACAAAACTGAACATATGCATAGACAATCAAACAACATTGATCCATTTATACATGTCATGACAGAGAGATACATCATGGAACTTTAGTTACTCCTCTACTAATGACTCCAACTCCGAGAACAAGGAAACATAGGGAAGATAGTAAGGTCTGGCATTAATTTGTAGCAGGATGCCACGTTTCAAAAATGCACTGTAATGTGTAGGGATGACATGAACTTTTTTACTATCCATGTTATATGTGACGATGTCATTTTCATCCCCAACCCCAACAAAGAGAAGCAAATTTCATTCCGGGTGAACCGTTGCGTAATACTGATCAACATCCAAGTAACCAAATTCAATGTTAGCCTCCAAAAGAATGTCAAGAGTGTTGACAGTGTGCTTCAATGTCGATTTATTAGTACCATAGTCTTCAAGGATCCAGATGTTAAGCTTGGGCATATCGCAACCACGAACAGTACATACACACAAGTGACCCTGAGCTTGATGGATGGAACCTTCAGAACCATGCGGGCGAGGAATTTTCCTCCATGTCTCTCCCTCCATATCCACAGCAAGTATCGGACAGCCCCACGAGTACCCCATGATGTGTAGAAACCCGTTAAGATACATAGTTTCTGATGATCTCCTATCTGATCTCTCAATTGTCACACAAGCATTCCTGCCCCATTTAGATTTCTTACAGATCCATGCGGTAGTTTTAGATGAGTACATGTCCACACCCCTACACCAATCAAACTGCTTTACTTCTATATATTGAATCACATGGAAGTGTGAGGAGGCTTTCGGATCGAACCCCAATCGAGCCTCACCAACAGAATGGATGCTAGGTGGTAGTTCCTTGAACTCCTTGGTTGCCGGATTGCAGACGAGATAGCTATATGATCCATTGGCCCCTTGCACCAGCATAGGATGAGGTCGTTGCAGATATCTAAGATAGCTACATTGGTCAAGGTGAAGAGCAAGAAGGGCAAGGAGGGGTGTTCACCGGTGACTCTGGTGTAGCATCGATGGCCTTGGTCGATGTCAAAACAAAACCTAGCCAGAGTCTGGGGCAGCACCTTATGGTTGTTGTTGTCCGAGATGAGGCGGTTCCAGGAGCGACAGACACATTTGTAGCAGAACAAGGAGCGGGCGGGGAGGTGACGGAGGATCTCGACGACGACATCGTCCGTGAGGTTGGCCAGTGCGTTCCTCTTGTTGGGGCCTCCTCCATTTTGTCTATAATGAGATCACTGAATAGGAAAATAACCCAACAAAGATCCAACATTGAAGTCCACAATTCATACCAAAGTGCAACTTTAACAATCATTAACAATTTTCTTGGTACGATCTCAAACAAATTTAGAGTAGCACCACATAGATATATATAACTCAAACTAGAGTAGCAGTTAATGGAGCTGTAACCATTACAATTCTAGCTAAATCAAGTCTATCCATCACACTTACAATCAGTACACGAGCTCAGAGCTTCTTCCATAGGAGACAGACAAAGATTAAGAGAACGACAATTACAACAGTTTTGAAGGCAGAAGCAATGGGCATGTTTGTTTGCCTAGACAGATAGGTATAATCAAGCAAGCACTTAGACAATTAACAGGCCTACTTGCACAAAGGCATTTACAGTAACAAAATTAAACATATGCAGAAAACCAAGACAACAGCAGAAAACCTACCAGTGCCACCTCCTTGTTTTTTTCATCATCATATCATTGGCCTAACCTGATCTCCAACACTAGAATGTTTCTTGTATACCTCATGTTCGAGCAAGCACCAAAATAGTAAAGCGAACAGGAAAAGGCAAGAAAGGATACCAACCGATCGGATCTGTCGCCTCTGCCGCGGCACACAATGGACACGAACGCCAATACCGCCGCGCTCCACCGGCAAGCCCCGCCGCCTAGCCTCCTAAAGGACACCGGAGCCACCATAGCACACCGGGGATCCTCCGCCACCGCCGCTAGTCTAACGGGCACAGATTTGTTTCCACTTGAAGGGGAAATATCCAATATAGGTCAACCTGTAGGGCATACACACAGAGAATATAATACTATAAAGACTCCAAAGATATGCCAATACAACCAGGCATCTAGCGCAATTGTAAAGACCGTGCATTCCTTTCTCCGAGTCCTAGGTTCGACTCCCAGGCATTGAAGTTTTTTTTAATTTATTAAACCCCGGCGGCACAAAAGGTACAAGTGACACGCAAGCCATCGGGTCCCATAGGTCAGATGGAGATGGAGAAAGGTCCCACAGGTACACGTGAGCTGTTGGGTCCCACAGGTCGGATGGTCCCTCTGGTACACATGACACGCAAGCCGTCGGGTCCCACAGGTCGGATGAAGATGGAGAACGGTCCTACAGGTACATGAGACACGTAAGCCATCGGATCCCACAGGTCGGATGTTAAAGGGTCTAGTAGGTACATGTCGGACGGAGAAAGGACCGAGCGGAGACTTTTATGATGAATTGCAGGCGTCACGGATGAGTAACTATAGGTCTCACAGGTACACGTTGAATGGAGATGGGTCCCACAGGTACACGTCGCATGGAGAAAGGATCAAGCAGAGACTTTTATGATGAATTGAAAGCGTCATGGATGAGTAACTGCAGGTCCCACAAGTACACGTCGGATGGAGAAAGTATCGTGTGGAGATCTATGACGAAGCCATTCATTATAGATCGGATATTTTTCGTCACAGATAGGTAAATAGTTCAATGATGAATCCCTGTTCGTCACAATTTTATAGGAGATTGTCACAGATGAGTCACGCGAGTGATCTGTGATGAAACCCTATGTTCTTCTGTGATGTTTTTTGTGATGATGCCTGATTTCGTCATAGAAAAGGAGGGTTGCAGCATCATCACCACTGATCTATGACGAAACAAAAATATTCGTCATAAAAAGCGATCTTCTATGACGTTTTCGGATTCATCATTAAGATTTTCGTCATAGAAGTAGAGATTTCTAGTAGTGAAAGAAATAGGTTAAATTTCAAGAAGGGAAGCAATGCTGGCTACTACCGACAACCTGTCGTCTAACAAAGCTCAAACCGAGGATGGTTTGCTGTCAAGAAGGGGAGGATGATGAGGATATGATACCATCGAATATGACCATTGATTATAAGGTGAGCTTATTCCTACATTTGCATAGTAATTTTTTGTACAATTCACTTGATTCCATATGTACATGTCACTATTTGATTATAGGTACAAATGTGTCTCAAAGTGCAGGTCCATCAAAGTTGAACTTTTAGGTCATCGGTATCCCGACAATACTTCATTGGGAAGGCCATAACTCTTTCATCCAGAGTGAGTTTGAGGTCCATGAGCACTTGATGGAAATCTTATTTGATAAGCTTTCAAGTAGATCTGGTCCCACCTCAATATCACGTCGGCAAGGCCTCTAAATCATCAAGATATTCTGTCATTGTTTCTGCCGGGAGCTATATCGTCGTCATGGGCTTGTTATTCATCCTTGGGACCCTGGCCCAAATGGGAGCACGCCCCAAGGAGAAGGAGACCTCACCAAGGAAGCCCTTGGACGTCCTCCTCCTTAGCCACCTCCTTAGGAGGCCAACAAGGGCATGCAACCCAAGCTGGAGGCCCAGTCCAACTCGAGTTCGAGTCTGCCTCGGCCTTCAGGACCAGTCTGCAATAAAACGGATGCCTAGGACGCATCCGGACTCTATTTTTGATGGTCCACATATGGATGGAAAGGTAATTTCATAAGCTAACCAATGGATTTGGTTTGAGGCCTAAATTCGACCGGAGTCAACGAGAATCATCGAAACAAGTCAGCGTCCAGAATCTATCAGGTGTTGCGCCATCGCTTTTGGTCCGTTGGGCCGTGTATCGTCTTTGAGGCCGTTATGGGGGCGCGTCCAGGGGGAGCGACGACCCTTAGACCTTATATTCAGCCGCCGCCGCCATTGTGAGGGTTTAGGTTTTGCTTTAGATCAATCTATCTTTGAACAGTCGCCGTTATCGGTTTGCGAAACCCCACGTTCGAGAGCTTATTTATACATCCGTAATTGTCACTTCACTTGAGTTGCGTTTTATCTTATTCTTGCTTGTGTTCTTCGATTCGCAGCAGGGATTAGCCTTCGTGGCGAGGTCAACCGGATTGTGACACAGTTGATAACCAAAAGAGACGTGGTGCTACGGTTGCAGGGTTCGGGTCTTTGTGATCTGAAACCGGATCAACGTGTTGCTCTCCGACCAAATCGATAGTTATCTGGAACCAAACAAAAGATCGGGAATAACGTCCCCCGTCAGTTACAGCACAAGACGATACCGATCGCCTTACATATTTAAAAGTAGATCAAGAAGTATGATATTTTGGGAGTGAAAAATAAAATAGATCAGCGGCGAAGCCAGGCTAGAAGATCACCGGGGTCTTGGCTGAAGCAAGGCGAGGTCAATAGGAGCAAATAACAATGAATCATGTACAGTAATTCTCTCTTTGTTTTTCAAAATCTGTCAGGGTCATCTGACCCCAATGACAAGCCTTAGCTTCACCCCCGAAATAGATAAAATCAAAATCATAGTTCACTTGCAAACTTACTTAATTTGATGCACTACTAATAACCTAATAACCTTAATGTATTGCCATAATACTTTTCAGTAATTTATCCCATTTTTTATGGAATGTTGACAATATTCATAGCCTATGACACCTCCGAAGCTGTTCTCCTAGCGACGGCGGCGGCCACGGCCGCGGTGTCGACGGAGGTGCCCGGGGTGATGAAGGCATGGGTGTACCACGCGTACGGGGACGCCGGCGTGCTCAAGCTCGACGAGGCCGCGGCTGTGCCGGCCCTGGCCGAGGACCAGGTGCTCGTCAAGGTCGTCGCCGCGGCGCTCAACCCCGTCGATGCCAAGCGACGGGCCGGCAAGTTCCAGGCCACCGACTCCCCTCTCCCGGTCTGATGATGATCAGCTGCTATCCTCGTCTCGTCTTGCAAATCGAAAATCCATTTTTTTTTTCTTCTTTTGATTCTGTGCACTGAAACTATTGGGTTTCTGGGAGTGCTGAACTTGCTGATGCTGTGCACTGCTGCAGACCGTGCCGGGGTACGACGTGGCCGGCGTGGTCGTCAAGGTGGGCAGCCAGGTGAAGAAGTTGAAAGAAGGCGACGAGGTGTACTCAGCGAGAAGCCGCTGGAGGGGCCCAAGCAGTCCGGCTCGCTGGCGGAGTACACCGCCGTCGAGGAGAGGCTGCTGGCGCTCAAGCCCGAGGGCCTCGACTTCGCGCAGGCCGCCAGCCTGCCGCTCGCCGTCCAGACCGCCAACGGGGGCCTGGAGAGCGCGGGACTGTCCGCCGGCAAGTCCGTCCTCGTCCTCGGTGGCGCCGGCGGTGTCGGCTCCCTTGCAATCCAGGTAAGATCTCATCAGAGTGCCAGACACTGAAACTTCACTGCACAGGCACCGGCTGCTGTTTGAATTCCAGCTCGACGTACTGTTGGGTACGTACGTTGTGAAGACTGAACTGAACATTCTTGCACAATGCTGCTCTTGTCGTGGAGTGTACGGCGCGTCCAAGGTGGCTGCGACGGCCAGCACCAAGAAGATCGAGCTGCTCAAGAGCCTGGGTGCCGATGTCGCCATCGACTACACTAAGGACAACTTCGAAGAGCTGCCGGACAAATACGACGTTGTCTTGGACGCAGTCGGTAAGATAAGATCACCATCATCAAATGCATGCCCAGCACTCCAGCAGCCACCACAAAATAAACGTGACCCCCTCAGGCCTCGGCTGAGTCGATCTGTCCTTTGCGTTTCACCATGCACGCATAGGTTTCATTCATTTCAGGTCAGGGTGACAAGGCTGTCAAGGTAGTGAAGGAAGGCGGCAGCGTGGTGGTCCTCACCAGCGCCGTCAGCCCTCCAGGCTTCCGGTTCGTCGTCACCTCCAACGGCGCTGTCTTGGAGAAGCTCAACCCGTACCTCGAGTCAGGGAAGGTGAAGCCGCTCATCGACCTGGAGGGGCCGTTCGCCTTCTCGCAGGTTGTGGAGGCGTTCTCCTACCTTGAGACCGGGAGAGCAACCGGCAAAGTAGTCATCTCACCCATCCCATGAGAGCTGTAGATTGCAGAGCCTGTTCACTGGCCATTTGCGAGCCGGCCTCGGATTCTCAAGAGTGTCATATAGTCTGAAATGGAGTTCATTTCAGGTATACAGTCCATAGAATTACACAGAGGTGTACATTGTGCTCATTGCGGAGCCACTTATCGACGTTCCAGGTTGTGTGTGAACGGATACATACAGTAAGAAGGCCCCTCTGTTGTTACATACACGATTTTTCTGTAGCTTCGAAAATTGCTGATCCTGGATGACGCTTGATTCCGCTCGGAAAAGGATGACCCATCTACTGCTTTGGGGACAATCTGATTGGGCAGATTGCAAATGCCATGCGGCGTGCTGCAAACGCCAATGAAAACCGCTCGTCCTCTGTTAGCGCCCTTTCTATGACCTTAACAACAGTTGGATCCTGCCATGATAGATGCCAATATATTATAATATGATTATTGGCTATAGTAAGCTACAGATTCTACTAAGTTTACACATTATTACCTAAAAAAACTCATATAGGGTTTGATCAGCAAAAACATGAAAGAATGTTTAAATTGCAAAGAAGTAGACAGGTCGGAAGTTCAATCGAGGCACTGAAGGCAGTGGATTGAGTTGACATACTTTTATGTGTAGCTGGCTTGGAGCAGGACGAATCCGAGCAATGTCACCTACTCTGATCACATTGTTGACATTCCCATGTTCGTCTGTTTCTGTAGGCAATGAAGTAGAATGCCTCCACTGGCCCCCAACTATAAACTTGTAATAGTACCTAAATGAGTATGGGGTTAGTTTCAGTTAACTCGATAACTATCAGGAGCAAAGAGATCAGAAGATGGTGGGATAGACAGATGCTGTTTAATATCCTCAGCCACGAAAACAAGCAAGTGGCAACTTACTTTCCATGCCGAAGGCGAACTTCAGCCTCATATCTTGACCCACCCTTGTGGATGCATCTTATTTTGTCTTTCCAGTTACTTGTAAAATCTCCAACCAACTCTACATCCTCACCCTGGGGCCAAAGTCACGTGCAACGGTGCAAGTCAACCCCCTCAAGTTATTGAATGTCAAGATCATAACATGAAGTCTCACACTGACTTGAACAAATGTCATCTATGCCAAATAATCACTCTTAAGTAACATTTTTGTATAAAAGGAACTTACCTCCCTACCACCGTTCCAAACGAAACATACTGAATGTGTGGGACTACCATCATGCCTTCCATTTTCAACTAAAGCAATAAGATCCCAAGTTGCCCAAACAATTGCAGCTCTGCATCATTAAACAATTTTTTAGTTGTCAGCAGTCACAATAAACAGGGTCCTTTTTGATTTAGCATCAAACAGATTGACTAATATAATGTTGCTCAACCATAATTACCTGTCAGGTCTACAAGAGTGCAAACCAGTGATGAACTTGTGAGCAATATGGAGAGGTGTATCTTGAACCCAGTGTAAGTATGATATCACGCATGCTGGTGATCTATCATATCCAGTGGTACAAGTCACATATATACGGTAGTTCTTCCTTATAAGACGCAACAGAAGACCAACACAGAAAGGAAGCTTCTTTCTTAGGTCCAAGGAATCAACCTCTCTGAAAACATCAAGCATCAGTAGTTAAATGACAATCAGATGATAGTAAGTTAGCAAGCCTATCACGTCTGCAAAACTAAGTAAAGATTTCACCAACAATTCATAGAGATCCTTTTTGTTCAGATAACTACTAGGGTGAAGTAGGATGAGCTGAGCTTATAACAGCCTAAAGAGACATAAAGCGCTTAAAACATTAATCCACACAACAACAAATAGTACACACCGAATATCAAGTACACAACAACAGTAGCCAAAGTATCACCGACATCGCTCTACAAATAAACGACAATTCGAACCTATATAAATTCTAGTCTTGTTTGTCACAGGATAAGGAAGCTACAGCTGGTTCGATATAACTACAGTGAAGAACTAGAATCAAACATTCTAAAGTTTATCTTCTAGATAGAGGCATTACAGCATACCGTATAGGGTAGTTAACCATCAAGATGTTATTCTCATGACAAGAACTGTTGATTGTCTCAGAATTGATTCCCCAGTTAATGCGCTCACTTTCACTTTGGAAATTCAGAACAGCAGTGATACCCTGAAGCCTTTTGAAGTATCAGAAACTTAACTGAATTGTAACGTAAATGGAAGTATAAATGGAATGCAACAAATGTAAGCAAAAAGCACTAATCAGACAAGCTTGCAGCATATGTCAGGAACATACCATAGTTTCTGATAACATCTTCACATCTTTCTCTGTTTGTATACATGACCCAACAAATATTTGTTCTGTTATCTGCGAATATTTGTGTAAAACAAGTGCCATGGTTATTGGTATATATTGATAAGTAGTCCTCAGCTCTTTCAAGCACACATAGTATTGACACACCCTTTATGGATGTACATGTCTAAGAAAATTAACAGAAGCAGTCTTCCAGTACCTTACTATACTGCATACCCAGTGAATGATTATAGTACAGTTCACCCTTAGCACGGTCTAGTGCTTTAATGTACTCCTCCAAAGGAAAGCTACCATGTGCCCACTCAGCATTGACATCGTCTTCATCAGAATATAAACCAACAATCTCACTTATGCGATTGGCAAGGTTAGTGCTACTCTGATTGAGTCCACCTTTCTCGTTAGACAGAAGAGCCCATCCTTGAGAACTTAGCAACCTTGGGGAGAATACGGCAAAACCACATTTTCCATCCCCAGTAGAAGATCCATAAAGCTTTGTGGACCAAACAGCACTATTCCACGAGGCAACAGCAGCCCGCCCTCTGTTAAATAGAATGTGGTAATCTTCATTTTGATGCAACTGATGGATTGGAAAAGGAGCAAATGGTCTCTCAAGGACAAGGCTGCATGGTCCTGACTTGTCCCTCAGTGCAATCCTGGATACAAGTTAAAGAGAACATATGAATGAAGCGTAACCATGCAGTAGTTCCATCCGACGTTCTTGAATTTTTAAGGGAAATAAATCGTGTTCATTGAACTGCTAGATTGCTGGTATCTTAACTTTGAGGAAGGTGGTGCTCCAATGGGTATTGGACTATTGGGTAACACTTTGTCAAGCAATTAAGAAGTTTAAGGCTCATTTTAAAATCGCCAACTGCTACAGTACTAAGTATATGTGCACTTCAATCATTCAATGTCTGGGAAAGCAAAGAGCTGAAACTTCTTTGTTCAGTGCATCAGAGTACTGTTTGTGCCATGAACTATTTACCCTAACAAAGAACCATTTCATTTGAGCCATTGAATAATTACTAAGCTTGATGAATAGTCCAGAAATTATCTAGAAATTATTAGTTACAAGTCTATTTTAAGACTTATTTCGAATGTTGGAATTTCACTAGACCAGGGTATAAAATATTTCATTGTTCAAACAGAAGAGGTAAAAAAACTCTAACATACAGTAACCAGGAAAGGCACTTCCGATCATAATAAGCAATCTTATATATGACACAGTGACCGAAAACGGCAGACGGGATGGTTCACTAAATTTCATAGAGACGCTAGTCTTTGGAAGAGTCAAACATAACGACATTACTGGTGCCGTACTCCGTGTCACCTAGGTCTTTGATGGTGACGAGGCCTTCGCCGTCGCCGCCCGCCTTCTTGAGTGTGTCGCCGACCATGATGATCCTGGACTTCTCGGCGTTCCCCTGCCACGCATCACCACAAGCAGTAGCCGGATGTCAATATGTCAGTCAGTCACTCGCCAATCGAAGGTCCTTAAACCCCGCCCGTCCGGGAAGGACTTCCTTCCCATTGCTCGCTCCCCGCTTAGTCACTTACCCCTTTCCTGAGGGAGTGGACGAAGACGCGTCCGTCGACGCCGAGGGCGAAGCGGACGCCGAGGGGCCGGTCGACAGCGACCATGTACTCGTTGAGCCGCATCGGCCCCGCGGGCCCACCCGGCTCCGCTCCTTCCGCCGCCGCCGCGACGACGCTCAAGCCCTTCCTCGTCCTGAGCCCCCGCCGCGCTCTGCCGGGGGAGGAGCAGAAGAAGGTGCGCGACGGCGCGCGTGGCCTGGGCGCCCGCGGGTCCGCCGATCCGGCGGCGCCAGTAATGGTGAGGGCCGGTGGGGTGAGTAGGTGGGGCGCCATGGGCGGCGCGTGATGGGGATCTGGTCGGCGGGGGGGGGGGGGTGGGGCACGGGAAATGGCGGCACCGGGCACGGGATCAGAGGCGGACTGGAGTGGGCGTGCGGGGATGGGAAGTGTGTGGAACGGAACCAAAACTGAAAGCAAGTGGAGCTGTTTGGAAGTTTGCGCGCGTGGGAAGGGGGGAGCAGTGGGGGCCACGCGTCCGTGCAGTTAGCTTTGCGTGACATCCGACGTGGCGCTCCAGTGCGGGGCTCTCTCCTCTCGTTCTTGCCAAAGCGGAACAAAAATATTGTGACAGATCACAGATGTTAGTATAAACTTATTTCTATGAATTTGAATAAACCTAAAATAAACTTACTTTTTACATTTTAGGATAAACTTTGCTTTCTTTATCTTGGTCCTGAAAAAATACTGTTCTAGCATAAAATCTTTGTAGATTTATGGTGTATGTCGAGATTGAACTCTGCAGAGGAGCATCTGATTTAGAGTTGAAATCACCGGCGCTATGAACTAAACGGTCAATCCGACGAATAGGTTCACTTATCCATCTCTCATCAAGTGCATACTCCCTCTGTCCCACTATGTATGTCGTTCTAGCAGTGCATTGAAGTGTCTACATTCATAGTTTCGCCCATGCATCCGGACACAACCAACCTCTAGGTTCAGAGAATCAATGCTGCACCAGGTTGAAAGCTAAAACGACTATTATAATAGGACAGAGGGAGTATTTCCTAACATAGGTGGAGACATCGCGCAGCAGAGAATCAATGCTGCACCAAGTTCAAAGCAAAAACGACTATTATAACGGGACAGAGAGAGTACTTTCTAACGTAGGTGGAGACTTCATTAAACGGGG